GTTACGAGTAACTCGCTAACTTCCGAAATACACATCAGTAGGTTCCTGAATAACTCCCTGCACAAACCCTTAACTCTCAACTGTCAACTTCTAACTTAACTCAACAATCTCTCTTCTCAACTCCTATCGTCAACTCCCTTTCCAACTGCTCTCTCTTCTCAACTGCTTATCGTCAGGCGCTTGGCCCATGAGTCAGCTCTCAGTAGCCTATCACCGCGCGCGCCTAACACGTACGCTCCGTCGCGCACGCCTACCTAACACGTGCGTAACTGGGAGCTTGTTGACTATGCTATAGTATAGGGCTTATATCTGATTATGAGACTGACTCTAAGAGGTCTCTGTGTTTGCCATGAGATGTGATACCACCTATGGTGTCTGTCTATCTTACCATAAGCTACTATGGGTTTATATGTATAATTAATGATTAGACTGACTCTACGAGTTAAGTAAATATGAATTCACTAAAAATTACTAACACATTTATTTTTAAATTGGGCCCAACTGTATGTCAAATACATTTCTCCAAACTATTACAATGGAAAACAGGGCCGTAGCATCTAGGGGCAAGGAGGCAGCTGTCCCTTAGATTTTTGAGCAACATAAATAATAAGCGCAGGTAGCCCCCTAATAAGTGTAGGTAACCAAAAAATAAATTCAGCAAATCATGGAACCAAATTACAAGAAGTTTACACAGAACATTACATTACTGTTAAAACAAATTACACACCCTCCTTAACATCACGCCAAGTTTTCTGTGTATTAAAAACATTTCCGACAGGATTTTCACATTTTTGTCACGCTTAAATTCCTAGCCTCATTCTTTGTCGCAGTTGCGCAACTATAAGCCTTCATCTATAGGATTCATATAGTGTTTTATTTTGTGGCACTACGACGTAGCAGGATGGGAGTCAGCGGGTGCATGGTTAAATAGGTCGATGGCTCTCATCGCTGTTGCATTGAAGTCGCATCCTCCATTCTACTCTCGTCTGCGTGGAAGGAACAATGCACACGGACGATGTAATGATCTACGTTTATTCAAACATTACTATAACGTGAAAATATTCTATTCATATTATCAGGATTGCATTAAAACCAAATTTGTTTTTATTCACTCTTGATACTGTACGCGTACTATACTATAGTGTATACAACTGCCAATCGAAATAAACTTACGTGCCTTGACACGGCACTCACCCTATTATAGCTTGCGTGCAACAACCACTAATGTGATGTTAAGAAATATTTTTTTCGTCTCAGTGTCTGAGTTTGTGTTTGGAATATTGACGCAGCAATTAACTAGGAATGCCGGAATGAGTGAAAAAATAGTCTCCGGGGCCAAAGCTTCTCGCGCGAAAAGAAATAGTGCCATCCGTGTGATGTATAAGAAAGGAAAGGAACATCAAATGCTTTTTCGAGAAACTGTATTTTATAATGCGAATGCTTACCTTCCTAAATGTAGACGTTCTCTTCGAGTGCAAGGTTTATCTGTCCCAGCTTTTCCGTCTCCTTCTTCCCTTTCTTCTTCGTCCCACTGGAGCTCTCGTGTTTCTGCACGTCCATCTCAACAGTGGCGCACGCATTGCTGTTAGCCGTGCCACGCTCCGATCGTTGCGCGTCTTTTTCCTTCGCGATCCACGCGTCACTGTTTGAATTTGCGACGTAGGATTGCAGCTTCACTGCAGACTTTGTCGTTAACTTGGTTTCGTCGGCAGTGAGATCTGCTGACGTTGATCCATCACGGATTCTTGTACCAACTAGGCGCATTATGAAGATGACGATGAGGGGTAA